CAGGTAGGATAAAGATGTTAATATGTTACTAATTAAAATATATAGAGATAACTTCTAACTGATTGTGTGTGATTTAAATATATTAAATAAGGAAAATTTCCCCCAAAATATATTATTGAGGACTAATATTCTTAAAATTTTAGATGAGACCAATAAACTTAAAATCTATTAGTTAGAGGGATAAATAAGGGGGTTAAGCCAAGAATTTTTCCATATTTTCAGAAGAAAAAGGTTACTAGGCTTGGAGGAATCCACATCTCCCCCACATCAAAGCCCAGCCTACTTTCTACCAAAAAAACAAAACAAAAGCCCAGCCTACGTTCTTTATATATATAATCTTTTCCGGAAATTCAGAACAATCACCGTCGCTTCCCCTTATTTGGAACCTTCATCCGTTCCCCCAAATAAAACCCTAGGTCAATCCAGACGATCTCTAAACTAACCGAGTCAAGAAAATTCACTCGTCAGCTTCGTCAGAAAAATATCGTCCGGTAGGGTTTTTGCTTCCTTTTGCTGTCTCTCTGGATAAGAAGTTCTCTCTAATTTGTTTCCAACTCATCCGATTCAACAATGGGAGCCAGCCGCAAGCTGCAAGGAGAGATAGATAGAGTCCTGAACAAAGTCCAAGAAGGCGTTGATATCTTGGATAGGATTTGGAATAAGGTCACTAATGATCTATTTTCCTGTTTGGTTCCTGAGAAATTTATGGACATTGTGATATACACAGTAACGCGAACCCGAAATTCTTCAGTTCGTAGAGTTGCAATGATTATCCTTATGAAGTTTGGTTTATTTGCATACTGTTTTTGGTTTAAAAAAGTGTCTGTAGTTTGCTTGATCTTCAAACTGCAAAGACCATATGTTAGTATTAATTTTTTTTTTTCTTTTAGGGTTATGATACCGACAAGGCGAATCAGAAAGAAAATTTTGAGGCAGACTTTGAGGAGGAGATTAAGAAGTTGCAGAGGTACAGGGACCAGATCAAGACATGGATTCAGCCCAGCCAGATCAATGATAAGGTTACGTATGCATATATACTTGTTTTGTTGCTTCTTTTCTTCAGATTGATTGTTTTTGGATTTTGTGAATTCATGTTTATTGATCCTGTTCTTTTGATTCATGATGAAATTAGGTTAATGCCTCCTATAAGCAGGGATTGGTAGATGCTCGTAAACAAATTGAGCATGAAATGGAACGGTTTAAGACATGTGACAAGGAGACTAAGATAAAAGCTTTCTCCAAAGAAGGATTGGCGCAACAACCTAAAACTGTAGGCATTAACCATTTCTCCCATTGTTTTGTTGACAAGATTTGAAACTGGAATTGTAGTGATATGAGGGACAAGAAGAGGCCAAGTAATAAAAAAGATTGAACAATTTGGGTAGCTAGGATTATTTTATTTCTTTAATCTCCTTACCATTTTCGCCACCTAGTCTCGACCTCCAAGCTTCTTGCCAATTTGGAGACTAAGTTTCTTCCTTGGTCACCAAGTTAGTGAAGGACAAACCTATGTAAGGAAAATTAATTACAAAAACTTCTTTTATTCAATAAAAATTTCACTTCCTAACAAATAATTCTCTCTTTATTTTTTTGTGGATTCTAAAATTATTTGAATCTAAATATGTTTAAGGGTAGTAGACTAAATTCCAATTTAAAGCAAACTTTCATACCTCTACTTGTTTGATTGATGCCTTAATATTATCTGTCATTCATATCATCAAGATATTTGTTTTGAAATTAGTATTTTAGAAAACGGTCATAGAATTGTTATTCCATTTGGAACCCAATTATTTTTTTCTTCTATATAGTTGATATGCCCTTTTCTTGCAGGATCCGACAGAGAAGACAAAATCAGAGACAGTAGATTGTTGGAACAATGAGGTATGAAACAAAAACCGTTTGCCAGTGTCATGATCACTCTTCTATGCCTAAAAATGGCCATGCCGTGCAAATAACTACACTTCTATCCTCTTTGTTGAGAATTTGGCATTATAATTAAATGGTTTTTTTTCCTACATTTAATATTGTGAATTGGTTTGAATGAATTTCTATTCGTGAGTAGGTTGGAGAGTTAGAATCCCAGATTGATAACTTTGAAGCTAAGATTGAGGGGCTATCTGCTCTGTGAAGAAAGGAAAAACAAGACTGCCTAGACTCGTATGGCAGAAAATATGAGTTAATATGAATTATAATCTCTTTTGATGTTCATAACTTCTTTTCTCTTTGGGCACTGTTAAAGGAAAAACAAGGTTAATAATCAGAAATAGTAAGAATTCTAGTTAAGATCGTTTTATTAGGGTTCTTGTAAGGTGTAACTCATATATTTCCATAAAAAAGAAACAGTTCTTGTAAGTTAGTTAGTTAAGATATATATAGCAAGTATTTGTTCTGGTGAATGTAACTCATAAATTTCCATAAAAAAGAAATAGAAAATTGTTTCTCGTCGGGAAAAGTATAACAATGTCTATAAATTTTTTTAAATACCTAAAAATGAATCGTTAAATGTTAATTTATTAATGATAATTAAGTCTTTTCATATATATTCTTACACTTTAAACTCAAAAATCCACCACCCAAAAAGAAATATAAAAGAAAAAAAAAATAGAATATTAAAAAAATAAAAAATAAAAAACAAAAAACGAAAAGCAAAAGCTTAGAAAATGAGCATGTTCATGACTTAAGCACTTGGTTGGCAAGATGTACAAGAATTAAGAAATAAGAATAACACGATAGTAAACTCTTGGTTGTAAGTTACCGAGATTCTACAGACTTTTTTCTTGCACATTCAGCTGTTGCCGACGTAGGTTTGTGAGGTTTTGAGTTGGAGAAAAACTTCCTAAAATTATCTCCATTCAATAATATTCTCCATTCTTCGAAAAAATGAATTTTCAGAATTTTTTTAAAAATAATCCCCAAAATGACGGTACCGACTGTTCAAATCTCAATAAATAGACACCGACACTGCTCCATTTCTCATATTTTCTAAAAACCAAAACCAATCAGAGTTCTTCTCATTTGTTTTAGATCGGAAAAATTGGCCGACGAAGTGGTTCTTGTGGACATCTGGCCAAAACTCATTTGGA